TGGATGCTATAGCTCAAATGCCAAAGTATGTCAAGTTCTTAAAGGAGGTGCTCACCAAGAAGAAGAAGAAGCTTAGTGACAGTTCCATGATGAAGCTTAGTGAGAAATGCTCCGCCATCCTCCAGAACAAACTTTCTCAGAAAAAAATATTCGGAGAGTTTTACTATCTATTGTCACATAGGTGCATTGCATATAGAATGCCATGCCTTACAAGTTTTTCAAGAATTTAGGCTAATGTGGTCTTAAGGAAATTTGAATGAGCGTGAAATTAGCTGATAGATCCGTTGTTTTCCCTAGTGGCATTGCAGTGGACCTTCTAGTCTAAGTGGGAAAATTCTACTATCCTGCATTTTTTTTATCCTTGATATTCAAGAGGATGTAAAAGTACCCCTTATACTAGGAAGACCCTTCCTTGACACCACCAAGGCCTTAATTGATGCGAAGAAATGTACTTTGATTCTAAGAGCAGTTGATGAAACGATCACCTTATCCGTTGCAAATAATGAGAAAGTAGTATCTATGCATGATCTTGATGTTCAGCATGGGGTGAGGTGAAAAGTAAACTTAAGTCTTCTAAGGATAATTCTACTTCGGTTAATGCTTTGACCAATTGTGTAGGCAAGTCTTTTGAGCTTCCTATGTTTGATATGAAATAGGTTCCCGAACCTCCCATGTAGGCCTATAACATCTTTATTCTCCATTGTGAGTCAATTGAACGAGCGTGATTTAATCTACAATGTCGTATTGGATCGAGATTCTTTAAAAAGAGTCGAATTGCACGTCGTAGGTGTTCTATGTCGGTTGTGAAAACTCTCCCTCCAAGTAGTTCATTTCAGTGTGCCTGGATAACTCGAATAGGGAGTCCAAGCTAATTTAGAACTCTCTGAGGTATAACTTTAGAGTGGGCAAGTTAGGAAAAATCAACATCGACCTAACTTAGGACTAAAGAGAAGCACACCCGAGCGATCTTCTCTGAATTGAATTTTAATCATTCTTGCCTTGCTTTGCTTAGTTAGTTGCTTAATCCAAACTACATCTTGTTAGCTAGATAGCAATTAGTTCCTCAAATAGTAGTAGACTTAGCACTCGGGTTAATAATTCAACTTGCTTACCTATATTGAACCCGATTGATGATTATACTTGGCCATTATTTGGGAAATGTAGTTATGTTCGAGTAAGGATCTGTCCAACTTTTTCCTTATTCATATAAAATTAGACAACATTCCGTCAAAAGAAAATGTGGGTGATTTGTACTATCTCTTTGACCACCAGTTTAGTGCAGAAGGTGTTAAGATGACATGATGATATAATGAACTAGGAAACCACATAAATATGTATCATCTCCTTTCCATTTCGTTTCGCAAACATATTGAAGTGATCAGTGGCTCAGCAACCAAGTTACTAATTAAGCATATATTCTTGATAATCTTATAACCCACAATATATATTTCACAAATATTATTGTAAGCCATCTACCTACTACGTAGTATCAATTCATATATACCCCACACATTCTTTTTCTCATTGTCATGGAAGGCTTATCTCTTATACTTGACAAGTTGAAAGAGGCTGGCTACATTTCTGGATTTTTTATGAATCATGATGCTTTCACAGGTCAGGTAACGCATCTACAATATGCAGATGACACACTTTTATTCTGCAATGCTAGCCATGACGACTTGTTGTATATCAAAGCTGCTCTAGCCAGTTTTGAGGTGATCTCTGGACTCAGAATTAATCTTTCTAAATCTGAGTTGTTCCCTGTTGGAGAGGTTTCCGGGGCAAATGAGTTGGCTTCTATTCTAGGTTGCAAGGTAGGGTATCTTCCCACGAGTTATCTGGGGTTACCCTTGGGAGCTCATCCAAATACATTCAGCACATGGCAACCAGTTGTTGATTGTATGACCAGACGTTTATCTACATGGAAAGGTGTTATGCTATCTCTTGGCGGCCGAATTGTACTCATCAAGAGTACTCTTGCTGCATTGTCGGTGTATTATATGTCCCTTTTACTGGCTCCAATGCAGGTTATTCATCGTATGGAACGTATCATGAAGAGATTTCTATGGGCAGGATCTGCAGATAACTTCAAACATCATTTAATAGCTTGGGATATAACTAAGGCAGATCGCTCCTTAGGCGGACTTGGATTCAAAGATCTCCACCATTTCAATATCTCCTTATTGGTTAAATGGTTTTGAAGATATCATGCGGATGATAAATCTTGGTGGAGAGCATTAATCAACAATAAATTTGGCTACCCCGACAGCCCCTGGAATCTGCAAGTTAATTCCGGAGTAATGCTCAGATCCATATGGCGACGAATTCTTAAACTGGAGCATCACTTTTGGCAAGTGGCGGTCATCAAACCGAGCACCAACTCCACGATCTCCTTTTGGAGGGATTGCTGGATCCCTAACAAGATCATTTCAAAGGCATTTCCCTCGTTATTTGCTGCTGCTGCAAATTCCACCAGTAGCTTATCCCAGTGCTTTCAGGTTGTGGATGGAGTTGTCACATGGAATATCAATTTCAACTATGTCTTCCATGGGCAGCTAGAAAGACAAGAAGAAGTCTTTAGAGCCATGTTAAACTCCATCCCCGCGCAATGGTTACAAGGGGAAACTGACACGCTACAGTATTTGCTCCCACGAAACCGCTATTCTGTAATTGGTTGCTACAAGTACATCACTCGCGGAATGTTTCCAGGATTGGGAGAGGTCTTTCCAGAAGAAACCATATGGAATCCAGCTGCTCCAAGCAAAGTTTCTGCATTCAGTTGGTTGGTATACCAAGGTAAAATTCTCACCTTGGACATTCTACGGCAACGAGGTTGGTGTTTACCCAATCACTGTTGCATGTGTCTGCAAGCAGAGGAATCATCAGATCACTTACTACTTCATTGCACCTATGCAAGTCAAATCTGGAACTTTTTTTTCTCTCGTATACAGTTGGAAGGACCAAGACCCCAACATTGCAGAAGTCTTCTTATTGAATGGAGCAGTTTTTCAAGGGGTTGTTGCTTTTGGAAAGCAGTGAAGTTGCTGCCCTTAATCATATTTTGGCATTTGTGGATCGAAAGAAACTCTAGAATTTTCCAGGATGAAGCACACAATGCTAACACTGCCGTCAAGACTATTAGTCGAACAGTTTGCGGTCTCACTATGGTTCATAAACTTATCCCCGCTGAAGATAGTTGTGGTCTTCATTCCATGTTATTTGGAAACAACTCCATTCCATTCCAACCTCCTTGAACAAATTACTAGTTTTACTAGCCTTGCTTCCTTTAACTATTTTCTTCTTTGTATCCATTTTGGTTGTATTTTGGAGTTAGTCCACTACTTGTGAACCCTCCTCTTTTCAATTGAATACAACTACTCATTCATCAAAAAAAAAAAAAAAAAAATATACCCCACACAACATGTTTCTTCTTCGGTTTAACAATAATTACTAGCCAATTTTTTCCGCATTCTTTTTTAATAGCCAAACTTATGAAATTACTAATAATTAGTCAAATTTTTTGTAATGCATCAAAATATTAGTTATTTTTTATGTTACCGTCAATAATTTTTTAACTATTTTCTTAGTTAAAATACTTAAGTTTTGGAATATTGACCTCTATGTAAGTCAGTATCGACATGTTAACAAGTTAATATTGCTAACAAAATTGCTAACGAGAGGTTAATTTTTGACTAATCATTAGTAATTCAACAGGTTTAAATGGACTAATCGTTAGTTCAGCAATTACATCTATGTTCAAGCTTGTGTTAATAATCTTATCAACCACAATATATATTTCACAAATATTATTGTAAGCTATCTAGCTACAATATATATTTCAACAGGCCATAACTTTTGACAGACTTCCAGTAGCATTTCACACATGTCCCGGGCATTGCAGAAGTCATGCTTACAACTCGTGACATTTACAGAAGAGGTTGTGGCTTTTGACAAACCTTAGAAAGAGCATATCTAATTAGGTTGATTATAACATCTTTAGTTCTCCATTGTGAGTCAATTGAATGAGTGTGATTTTGTCTACAATGTCGTATTGGATCGAGATTCTTTAAAAAGAGTCGAATTGCACATCATAGGTGTTCTATGTCGGGTGTGGAAACTCTCCCTCCAGGTAACTCGAATAGGGAGTCCAAGCTAGTTTAGAACTCTCTGAGGTATAATTTTAGAGTGGGCAAGTTAAGGAAAATCAACATCGACCTAACTTAAGACTATAGAGAAGCACACCCGAGTGATCTTCTCTTAATTGAATTTGAATCATTCTTGCTTTGCTTTGCTTAGTTGCTTAATCTAAACTACATCTTGTTAGCTAGATAACAATTAATTCCTCAAATAGTAGTAGACTTAGCACCTGAGTTGAAACTAACCATATATTGGCTCAACTAAATGTGTGGGATCATTTACTAACCATATATTCTTCTTTTTTTTTTTTTTTGTTGTTGTTGAAACTAACCATATATTCTATGTTCAAGCATGTGTTAATAATCTTATCAACCACAATATATATTTCACAAATATTATTGTAAGCTATCTAGCTACTACTATTGATTCATATATATCCCACACATCATGTTTCTTCTTCGAATTAACAATAATTATTAGTCAAATCTTTTGTAATGTATCAAATTATTAGTCATTTTCCCGTTATCGTTAATAATTTTGTAACTCTATCAACATGTTGACAAGGTAATATTACTAACAAAATTGCTAACGAGAGGTTAACTTTTGCCTAATATTAATTAGTAATTCAACGGGATTAAATTGGCTAATAAGAAAGAATTTACGTAGTGTATACCAGATCTTCTTTCTTCATAAAACAACCTCCTCAATGAGGATAAATCTCTATTGCAATTTTCCATTCGATTAGTTCAGCAATTACATCTAAGCTCCCCCCTAAAATTCTCATTTGTGAGTCCTTCGAATATGTAAGGAAAAGATGAAAAAATATTAATCCTTCTACTGATCATCGACTTCTACTCTAGTTTCTAAACATTTACTAGCTTCAATCCCCCACCTACATCTTCACAATGTACAACACTAGGGGAACCCCCTCCCTCTTCACCATCAACCCTAACCCCTACCTTGTTGCCATCATAACTAGGAGGAAAATGAAAACACGGCTCCATCGAAACCGCCCGTCGACAAGCATTCCCCCACAGAGTTTCCCCTCCGCCGTACTTGGTATCAGGAATCTGCAGAATCCAAGGTCTCAACCCTCCAAGACCTTGAGCCACATACCCGAAAGTCGACCAACCGCTCGTCACCAAAACGTCGCACAAACTCAACAGATAGATATCAACCCACGCCATCATGTTGTGCGAACCGTCGTTCGAACGTTGCACCTCCTCGTGACTAGCCTGGTGAAACCCTACTGCAACTTCTCCATCCGAACCTGTAGAAGCACTTGCTCTCTTCCAAAACATGTCCTTCAATTCGACATAGAATTCGCTGGACAACGACGCCACTAGAACCGCTTTGTTATACGATGTTTTCTTGCTCGCGAGCTTCTTCGTGGCGGTCTCGTTTTGTTTGGTTGCTAAAGGTGGAAGGATTTGAGCCTCCTTCTGTGCGCACCTCAGTACCTGCTTCAGGACTAGAGCCGTCGGGCTGGCTTTCGTGTCGAGCACACGGATCTGAAGCCCGATTCTCTCGTCAGCATTCGCCAGGTAAGCGTCGTAGAACCTGGCGATGAGCCCCCAGGCTTGATCTGACGGGGTGAATAGGTATCTCCCCAGGTGGTGGAAAACAGTCTCCTTGTCAGGAAACATTCTGTCCAGCTTCGCCCTGAATCCTGACATCAGGAAAAGGTATGGAACGAAGTATTGGTCCGATTTGAGAATTAGCCACGAGACTTTTTGGAGACCGTCTTGAACCTCGTTGCTATAGAAAAGCTTGTCATAGTCATCGTACCCGTATCCAAGGTTCACATGTAGGAACGATGAGGAATTGTTCGCTAGCACTGCAGTATGATTATTATTATTATTCTTCATCAGGCTGCCAAAGTCGTCGACTTTGGAGCCATAGATCCTGTTCCCGAAACGGGAGTCTTCAGGAAACAACCAGGTTGAGTTTGGAACCGGTTCGGAGAAGAGGTGCGTCATGTCAGGGCCGAAGTCGACCAGAAGAACCCGGTTCGTGAGGAGAGCGTAGAGAAACGCGGATGACATGCTGAGCATCCTGTTGCCCAGCCCGTTGGTGGGTCGGGTGAAGACGACGTAGCTGCAGTCGTCATCGTCGACGTGGGATGGCTGGTGACTTTTGGTGGAATAGTTTTGTTTCTTCGCGCCCACGGGCGACGATGATACTTGGAAAAAACTTCGGTTGAAGGATTTGGTGAGAGGCTCGCAACGCTTGTGGCGTTGTTCGTAGTCTCGGAGCACGGAGAGAAGGTAAGGAGATGGAGGTTTGTGATAGCTTGATGAGCTCTTATGGCAATGACGCCTGCTGGCACATGATGATTTTCCCGGCTCGAGTTCTTCTCTGAGGTTAATTGGGGGAATTGGGAATGCGATGATCAGCAAAAGAGACGCGGCTGTACAAGCTGCTACTGTGGTGGCTACAAACGTGGACTTGAATAACCTTCTTGTCTTGGGGAATTGGAATTCCTCCGGTGCTGTTTCTGATGAATTGAAATTCAAGGTGTACATTGTTGCAAATCACAATCATCTGTTTTTTTTTTATGTTCTTTCTGAATATTTTCTTTTTGCGGGCAAATTTCAAGCAAGCAGACCTATAAGAGGGTTTATCGTTGTATTATGAGAGAAAGTAGAATGAACGTGACACAAAGAAGTAGAAGATTATCATAAGAAAAAAACTATTGAAGCTCTCGTGTTCTCGTTGTACTTTGATGCACCAATTGTAAATGTAAGTACCCTACGATTTGAAAGAGATGAACACGAATTTGGCTGGAGTCCTAGCCAAAAATGGCGGTAATGAAGAAGAAAAAAAAAATGATGAGGAGACGATGAATAATTAAATCAGTGGAGGCAGTTGATGTTATCATTCAATGCTCGTTTAAATTAGCGAGTTGGCCACTGACAGGGAGAGAAACAAGGATAATTTTGGGGGGTTTACATAATCTGGGGATCCTGTGGTTTTTAGGATTTAAGTTTTTCCACAAATTTTTTTTTTTTTTTTGAAATTGCACTCGTAAAAAGCATTGAATGAGACGTGGGTCTTTAAGTGAAGTTTGTTCCATTGATTACTTTTTTGGCCGGCAATTCTGTACGTAGTGGCGTTACGGCACCAGACTACCAGAGCGAACAATATATATGGCCAGGCCATCTGATTGATTCAGAATTGCATATCAGAGTTGCAGTTGCAGATCAACCTTCAGAGATGAAGTAGTCCAAGACCAGTAAGGATTAGAGGAAGAAGAGGAAGTAAAATGCAGCCGTTCAGCTTACACGCAGTGTTTTAGTTGTAGTGTGTTCAAACGCTACCGTTTCATTATTCATGTTATTAGCCGTTAAGTGAGTACTGTTTAGTTTGATTAATAGCTAGTAGAAACTGGACACGTGGCGGATTACTGTAATTGTTTGAAACCATATATATTACTGCAAGAGAGCTCAGAACTTTTCTGAGCCTCGTGTTCTCCCATTCAACCAATTTGTTATGGTATCAGAGCAAAAAGTCTAGAGTTTCACAGGTCCTTTGGACTCAGTCGCCATGAATACACCACCAGCTACACCAGGCGGCAACACCTCAGGATCTGGAACCACGGAGGCCGAATTTGGTTTTGGGACATTCAACCAAGAGACTCGAAAGACAGAGACGGTCGCATTTGGTAATCCGTTTTATCTCAACCCAAATGAAAATATGTGTCAATCCCTAGTTTCTGAGCTGTTTGATGGGACGAATTACACTATGTGGAGTAGATCCATTCAAGTTGTTCTTAAGACCAAGCACAAGATGGGTTTTATTGACGGAAGCATACCAATCCCTCCACGCGATACTGATCTCTTCCTTTATGGGATGCTTGTAATACCCTGGTTTTGTGCTGGATCCAGAACTCTTTGAACAAGGATCTGAGAAGGGCTATGTTACCCCATACCAATGCTAAGGCATTGTGGGATGAGTTTAAGAGGCGTTTTAGTCAGCCAAATGCTCTTAGGATCATCAACCTGGAAGATGAAATTACAGCGTGCAAGCAGGGCACAAGGTCTATCAATCAGTATTTTATCGATGTTAAGGGTCTTTGGGAAGAATACATAGAGTATAACCCAGTTGTTCCTTGTACTTGTGCTCCTGGGAATCCCTTGCCCTGTCCAGCTGTTGCAGCTTTCATACAGAAACAAGAGACTGATTACTTAATCAGGTTTCTTCGAGGTCTGAACTCAGATTATGATGTGGTTAAAACCAAGTTGCTTATGCAGAAGCCATTACCCACTGTTTCTACTGCAGTAGATGATTTGTAGCAGCATGAACAGAAGCTTAAAAGTGATGGTCATGCTAGTGGTAAGAAGACACAGTCAATGGCACTGGCAGTAGGAGGACAGCAGAACAAGGGTTTTGATGAAGCCGGTCCAGGAAGGAAGTATTGTCGATATTGCAAGAAGACAAACCACTACATTGAAGATTGCTGGATACTCAAAAAGAAGAACTCTGATCAGAATGAGAAGTCCAGTCACTCACGGTCTAATTCGAGTTCAAGTTTCAGTTCTAACACACTAAGTTTTGCTGGTTCAGTTGCACAAAACCCCACTGTTGATCCATCATCAGAAGGCAGTGTGACATGTGACCAAAGTACATGACATAATGCTCTTGGATAGGGATGGCAACAAAACCCGAACCCACCGGTACCCACCCGATCCAACCCGGTCAACGCGGGTAAAATCCGTGTTGACGGGTTTTGGGCCGGGTTTGGGTTTAAACCCGGTCACTATTCATCGGGTTGGGTTGGGTTTGGGTTTAGGTAAACCCGACCCATGGGTACCCGCCCACACCTATATAATTAATTTTCTCGGTATATTTGATATTCTAAACAACTAATCTTATTTATGTTTGTGGATACACGTCTAATTTTTTCTTTCTAATTGTGTAGAATTAAGTTGATGTTATCGAGTAGAGAGTGAAAAAACTTAATTAAAAGGAAGAAACTTTCAATTAATCATGTTATTTATGGATAATTTGTGATTTGCTTCAATTTTCTTGAGTTTTCTAAATTGGTGTTGAACAATTTGTATAGTTAATTTGTGATTTGCTTGAATTTTCTACAATGGTGTTCTATATATATGGATAATTTATATTGAGAGATTGATATTTGAATTTAATTTTGATAAGAACTAGTTATTGTAAAGTTTTACGACAAAAACCCGTGGGTACCCATGAACCCGCGGATACCCAGCGGGTTGGGTTGGGTTTGAGTTTTTCAAACCCAATGGGTTTTACCCCGGGTTTTTTTCACGGACAAACCCATGGGTTTGTGTTTGGGTTTGGCAAAACCCGACCCCACCCGACCCATTGCCATCCCTACTCTTGGATTTACAGCTGAAGAGATGAACCGTCTGACATATCTTGTAGAAGTTGGTACTAATCCCTTTTCTTCACCATCAACCTCACCAACAATCAATCATCAAGCTTACTCAGTTTCACAATACTTGCCTCCCTACCCAAATCATTCAGGTATCATTACCTTGTCTACCATAAAAGCCAGTCCTGCACACATTCATAAGCTTTGGATTTTAGACATCTGACCATATTGCCTGTAGTCTATCTCTCTTTACAGACCATAACCCAATCCCTAAGTCTTTTGTGCATCTTCCAAATAACACTCAAGTGCTAGTTACTCACATAGGGACTGTTTCCTTACCCTTAGGAATGATATTAAATGATGTCCTGTGTGTCCCTAGTTTCACATTCAACTTAGTTTCAATGAGTAAACTTACACATGACCTCCCTGTTTCCTTACTCTTTCAATCTGATTGTTTAATCCATGACCTTCTAAGTCAGAAGAAGATTGGTTTAGCAAGAGAAATTAGAGGCCTCTACCACCTATCATTTTCCAATTCTACATCACTGTCATCCAGCACACCCATCCAATCTCAAGTAGCTTCTACTTTCAACTTCATTCATCAACAACTAGAGCTGTGAAATTGGAGGCTAGGGCATCCCAGTCATGACAGATTGACACTTCTTAGCCATAGTACTCCTTCTGTAACTAGCTCTAGGACAAAACATTGTGATGTTTGTCACCTATCTAAACACAAACGACTATCTTTTCCTATTAGCACCAATGTTGCACCAGACAGGTTCCATTTGCTTCATGTTGACCTTTGGTGTCCTTTATCAGTTACTTCATATGATGGATTTAATTACTTTCTTACTGTGGTGGATGATTATTCTCGTGCTTTTTGGGTTTATCTGATGAGACATAAGAGTGAAGTTAGGGGTTTGTAGGAAGGTTTTTGTCATCTGGTCAAGAACCAGTTTAATACAACAGTTAAGATCATATGTAGTGACCAGAGAGTTTGCTATGTGTGATTTTTTCTCACAAGAAGGTATTGAGCATCATATAGTTGCGTGGAAACACCTGAACAAAATGCTCGTGTGGAAAGGAAATACCAGCATATATTAAACGTTGCCAGGTCATTACGTTTCCAGTCAGGCATTCCCCTTACCTTCTGGAGTGATTGTATCTTACACTCTGTCCACCTTATCAATCGACTCCCTACTCCTCTTTTGTCAAACAAATCACCTTATGAGATGTTGTATGATAAACCACCTTCTTTGGCACACCTTAAGGTGTTTGGCTGTCTGTGTTATGCCAGCACTTTGTCCCATGGTCGAACTAAATTTGCTCCTCGTGCACGACATTGTATTTTCTTAGGCATTCCTACTGGTATTAAAGGCTACAAAGTCCTAGATATCCATACTCAACAAGTCTTTTTCTCCAGGGATGTAATCTTCTATGAAACAACTCATCTTCTATGAAACAATCATTCCTACAGTGTATTTTTGGTATTTTCGACTTTGTCTCAATGATAGACTTTAATCTCTTTGGATAGAGATTTCTAGCACTTTAGTGGATCCCTTTCGGATTGATCAGGTTAAAGGAAAACATGAAGGAAGTGCAATCCCCTCATCAGTCTATCAGTTAAGGCCTTTTGCTTTTTGTATATTTTCATGGTATTAATGATGCCTACTAAATGGTGATTTACTAATAATCTCTTGTTTTTTCTTTTGAGGAAATTATCAACTGGTGATCAGAATGCTACACATTCTCGAGGAGGAGCTGTCTTGGAGGAAGTGCTCTCTTTTTTCTCTTTTCTTGAGTTAGTGTCGTGTCATTTGCTCCTCGGAGCTTTAACAGAGTTGCCCATGTAGTGGCTATAACCGGCTCTTTCATCGGGAATCCGCTTGCTTACGGATTACCGCATTTATTTTGGAGTCCTTATTGTATCTGAGTCGCGTCTTTGTCTCATGCCCTTTGGGGTTGCCTTGGAAAAAAAAACAATCCTTCCCTATAAACTTTCAGACTTCCTACTACCACTACTGGTTCTCTTGAACCTGTTTACAACCCACCATCATATTCTTCTGCTCTACCTGTTACCATTCCCATTCCTGCTTCTTCTACTCCACAAATATCCACTCCTACTTCTTCCATTTCACCTACTACTCCTACTCCTTTTACTTAAGATACTCCCAA